TGGTTTCTTTATTTTCAATTCTAGATTTTTTTTTGAAAAATCTTTTAGATACACTCTAATAATTTATCACTTTCTTCAATTATAACTTTATTAACATTAATTGTTATTGATTATTATTATTATTATTTGAGTAAACTATGATTTTGGTCCGTATATTGTAATTTTCGTCCATGTAGTTTTGAAATTGTAATTTTCGTCCTTATAGTTTATAATTTATTGTTGTTTTCATCCTTGAAACTAAATATATTAAAAATCCTCCCTATAACCTAGGGGTATTTTAGTCTTTTTTTTCTTTGTGGTTTTATTAAATATCTTTTTTTGTTTCCTGTTTGGTATTTTTAGTCTTTCTGATTTAATAAAACTTATATATTTTTAGATAAACAAAAAGTAATACATAAAATATTATATTATTTTGTTATTCTTTATGATAAAATGATTTAATATTTTTCATATATTCATTTTTTCATATTTTTGGTCATTATGGTTTTAGTTTCTCGTTACTTGGATTGCTTGTACCAATTAAGAATGACAGTTTTATATGACGTATTTTCATATTTGTATTTTAAAAATATACACGTTTATATGACATTTTTAAAAGAAAAGTTTTATAATGAATTTCTTATATGACATTTATGAGAAACTACATTTTTTATATGACGTCTTTTTTGGATTTGTAAAGTATTAATTGGACACTTTATTTTTAAAATGTTCTTAAAAGACTTCAAAAAGAATTTATAAACTTTTTGTAACATATTTGTATAAGACATACATTTTTTTGGTGTAACTAAATGACTTATGAGACCAAACAATTATACCGTCTTATTAATAAAATTACATACATTTGTTTGATAAAAATAGCTAATTGTTTGTACATATAAGAAATATAATCTGTTGGTCTCTAATAAAAAAAAGAATTAAAATACTTTTATGAAAGGAGTGTTTAGCGGTTCACACTGGAAATATTAATGGTAAGAATCAAACTCATAAGAAACTAAAATATAACAACACAAAAACATATAAAATTAATTGTATATATTAAAAATATTTGATTATTTCATCACAATAATTTAAATTAATATCTCAAATTTTGACATATCTTTATACAATTTTTTAAATAACTCAATTTTTACTTTTTAGTATATACTTTCACTTCTTACATATTACTTGATAGCCTCATTTTTATTTTTATTGTACATATTTTTAAATTAACTTTTTTAAATTTTTATTGTATATATTTTTATACAATTTCTACGAATTTCTTGATAACCCAACTTTTATATAAATTTATAATATCTTCTCGATATGAGGTAATATTTATATGTATAAATTTTAATATATTTATTTTTATATGGGTGAGTTTAAATGAAAATTCATTTTTTTATTGTGAATGTGAGAGCAAATCTTGACCATCAAATTTAGAAAATTAATCAATGATTAAAACATAGTAAGTTAACTCTAGGGACAAAAATAGAAGTTAGAATTTACGTCTACCATGTTTGATTTTTTATTTTCTTTTTAATTACAAAATTTTTACATTTTAATTTTTAAACTAAATTATCTTAAAACTAATTAATATTTTAATCAAACAAATTATATCAAAAAATCGAGCATTTTCTTTTCTTGGATTTGACATCATCTTGACAAAAGTTAATTATGTCAAATAGTATATCTGTGTAATATTCATTATATATATATATATATATATTCATGTGCATATGTTTAGTTTTAACTCTACATACTTTACTTTTTCTTTCTTTTTCTTTATTGGGTTCTCAATTGATCTAGATGAGTTTCTGATTCGTCTCGATAGATTTCTCAATCCATCTCGACAAAAGTTAAAAATGGTAGGTTATGGTTTTACACAAACAAACATACACCAAGTCAATGAATGTGTTCTTGATTAGCCTTGATTGGTGTCGATCGATCCCAATTGGCTGTCGATCGATCTCAATTGGCTGTCGATCGATCTCAATGTGTTCTTGATCGGTCTCGATGTGTTCTTGGTCCTTCTTGATAAAAGATGAAAAGTGATAATCTATGGTTTTACACACAAACAAATAATAAAACAATTGATCGGTTCCTGATGGAAAATGAAGGTGGTAGGTTATGATTTAACCCATATAAACACATACCAAGTCAATGAATGGATTCTCAACCATTCTCGATCGGTTTCAATCTGTTCTCGATCGGTCTTGATGGATGTTAGGTTGTGGTGATGAAGAATGTGGTGTCTTACGATGTTGAAGAAAGTGTTGAAGAATGTGATGTTGAGTTACGTACTTATGATGTCGAACTGTTGTACTCACTTGAACGTATATAAATATCCATAATGAATATAACACATATATACCATTTCACGGATTAAAAAAGTGAAAACGAAATATATATATATATATATATATATCGAGATAGATATGTCATATCAAAAAACATGAAATTTCCTTTTTTTTATATAATTTATTTAATTAAAACATTAGTAATTTTTAAGATGATTTATTTTAAACTTTAAGAGGTAAAAGTTTTTTAATTAAAAATAAAAAGTCAAATAAGGTATGTATG